ATTTTATTTATAATATGTTTTGGTGGATCTCTTTGGGCTCACTTTATTAGGGGCTCTCTATGCTTTCTGCATCTGATATGTATTTTCTTTCTCAAGCTAGGGAAGTTTTCAGTCATTATTTCTTCAATTTTTCTGGCAGTTTTACTCTCTCTTTTCCTCCTGGGACTCATATAATGAGAATGTTAGTATGCTGCTTGTTCCGGAGGTCCCCTAAAACTATCCTCCTTAAAAAGATTATTTTTTGCTATTCTCATTGTGTAATTTCAACTATTCTCTCTTCCAGATTGCTGATTCATCCTTCTCTATTATGTAATCTGCTTTTGGTCCTTTCTAGTGTATTTTTCTATTTCAGTTATTGTATTCCTCAGCTCTGATGGGGTTTTGAAAAGTATTTTCTTTCCTTTTGTTGAAGTTCTGTGTTCTTCCATTTTTCTCCTGTGTTTGGTGAGCATCTTTTATGACCATTACTTTGAACTCTTTATCAGGTAAATTACTTATCTCCTTTTCTTTAGGTTTTTCTTTGTTTCTGGGTTTTTTTCTTGTTTTGCTTGGAATGTATTTCTGTCTCCTCATTTTGTTTGACTTTCTGTGTGTGTTTCTATGAATTAGCTGAAAGACCTAACTTTCCTGGTATTGAAAGAGTGGCCTTGTGTAGGTCTGCCTGCTGTGTAGACTGTGTGTCTGGTGGCTTTGGCAGGCTGGTTAGAGCTGAAGTGGGCATGGCTTGGAGGTTCTGGGACATGTGCTGTGGCCACTTCTGTGGAATTGCTGGAGCTGGAGTGGGCATCGGTTGGGTATGTCCTATGTAGATGTGCTATGCTGGGGCTGCCTTTGAGGGATGGCTGGATTTGGCATAGGCCCATTGGGTTCTGGAGGGTGTTATGTCGGGCCTGACTTGGCAGGATGGCTGGAGATAGGTTGGAGACCTGGGGTGTACTGTGTGGGGGCTGTCTTTGAAGGACAGCTGGAGCTGGTGTGGGCCAGAGGTCTAGAGTGTGCTGGGGTGGTCCTAGCAGGTTGGTAGAGTGCCCGGACCCTGCCCTTGTTTATGGTATGAAGGTGGATGTAGAATGTAAAAATGCCACTTACTGGTGCCTCTTAACCCCAGTGAGAGTTTCAGTGGTTCTGTACCACTGGGAGACACAGAATCTGAAGCAGGCTCCACTGAGCTGTCAGCATAGGGCCTGATGTAGGGCTTGAACCTAGGAACCATGAGATTATGACCTGAGCCGAAGTCAGATGCTTAACCCACTGGCTCAGTCTTGAGTTCAAGTCCCATATTGGGCCCTGTGCTGACAGCTTAGAGCCTGGAGCCTGATTGTGATTCTGTGTCTCCCTCTGTCTCTGCCCCTTCCCATCTTGCACTTTGTCTCAGTCTCTCTCAAAAATAAATAAATGTTAAAAATTTTTTTAAAATTCAGTTTAAATTTCATTTGCATTTTATTTTAATGAAAATTGATAGTCTTCTTGAATATTCTTTAGATGTTTTAAAAAGTAAGCCTATCCTTGATCATAATTAGCAGCATCTTTGGGAGCATCTTTTATAATTCAGAAAAATAGACTTATTCTTTTTATAATATTTTGTGATAGTTTTACACAGCACATTTTGAACTTTTTTGTTTTTCTTCTGCAGTTAGCTTATAGGTATATCTTTATGGTCTTTTTTTGTAATGAGTTATTGTATTGCTTCTTTCTCTAACTTTTGACTTTAAAAATTCCAAACTTTGAGAAAAGTTGAAAGGATACCATGTGAGTATCAATTACCTTTCCTTCAGATTCACTGGTTATTAATATTGTACCACATTTGTGTGTAGTTTTTCTCTTTCCATCTCTCTGCTTTTTTATCTGATGTTGTAGAAATCATGCTTTCACCCACAAATTCTTTTGCATGTATCTTCTTAAAACAAGGATATCTCTTACATAACTATAATAACAGTATTACTCCCAATAAAGTTAATATTATCAAATATAATTGTATCAAATATATATTGTATATTCATATATTTTTTTTTTACCTCTTCTCAAACTGTTATTTATGGCTATAGTTTTCTTTTTGTTTTTCAGATTTAAGCGCCAATCAGGAATCGTACATTACATTTGGTCTTTATTTTTCTTTTATTCCTTTAATGTACAACAGTCTCCTGGGGGTTTTGTTGTTGTTGTTGTTTTTGTTCTCAGGTTATTGACCCTTTTTTAATATCCCATGCCACTTTTCTGTAGATTTCCTGCCATTTGGATTTGTCTGATTATTTTTTCATGATTAGATTCAGGTTAAACATTTTTGATAAGCATACTAATTTGGTGATAAAGATGCATATTTTGGAATTTGTTCAGTGACTTCCAGGAGAATAAAATTAAAAAATGGAATATTTCATCCCCCTCACTACCCCTGGCAAATAAACCCAATTAAATAAAATTAAGACAGTCAAGGAACCAGCAGTCATTGGAACATCAGACTTCACAGTTTTGACTTGATGTTTTTCATACTGTAGAAAATTAATTTTTTTATTTTTAACTTTTTTTAAATAATTAATTTTGGTTGAGAAGGAGGGAGGGCACAAGGGAGCGAGGGTACGAGAGAAGAAATCCTAGAAAAGGTAGAGGGAGAGAGGGAGAGCACAAGAAGCAGAGTTTGCCCAAAGTGGGTCTTGAGCTCATGAACTGTGAGATCATGGCCTGAGCTGAAGTAAGATGCTTAATGACTGAGCCACCCAGGTACCCCTTAGTTTTTTTAAATTACCACTTTGATTATAAGATATGCTAGCCTACTGGAAGAGCACTGGTCTGGATGATAGAAAACTTGGGTGCATGAGATCTGAATATTTTACTTTTCTGTTTATTTGAGAAAATACTTATTGATCACTTCCTCACATCATGCAGTTGCTATGTATGAGAGTTGGATTCCAGTGTTTCTTGCGTTTGGCCATTAGGATGTTTACTTTTTCTAGAACAGGTATAATAGTAGAAGCCTATTAGTCCATTGAGGCATAACATAAAAGAAAGTAGAAGGACTAAATGCATACCAGTCCTTAGGTTAGTTGTAGACATTAGAAGACTGAATTGAGGGAATTTCTTGTCTCTTTTCTTTTCCACTACCTCCTTTCCCTCTTTCTCTTCTCTTTCTTCCTTTAATACCTAGGCTGATCGTAAGGAACTACTAGAGAGGTTGAAATACAGAAGGAGAGGAATAATTAGCACTATAAGATAGTAGAAAATGGGAATAAGAGAACACAGTTGGACTGATAAGCTTTAAATAGGTGAAGCCATACCATTTCATTTAAGAGGAAATGTATAGAAATAGATCAGTGAAGGTATATAAGGAGAGAGGGTTAGGTAGTTGAAGGAGTCTGTTGACTTTTATTTTTACTGATATATGAGTTAAACTTCATCTGCCAACAGTGAGTTTGGGCAAGAGATTTGAAAAGAGATGAGGGTTTGTAGTTGACCAAGGATAAATAAAAGAATTGATGAGTAGCTTTTGTAGTTTTGAGAGCCTGAGAATGGGTTTAATTGACCCAATTCTTCACTTCTCATTTTTCTCCACCTGATTTCCCCCATATGAAGAAGTGCAATTGAGTTGTGTGGAAGTTGAATTGAAGATTGGAGGTTTAAAGGAACTGTGGGGTGAAGGGTAAAGAGGTGATGGTAATTTAGAGAGAAGACAGTGAAATGATTGGTGATTGCTAGTCTGTGGAGAAGAAGGGCATGTGGGCAGGAAGAAATGATAGACTCAGTAAAGTAAAGGGATGGGGCATGGGGTGCTTTGATAAGGTTAAAGAATAGGTAAGGGATAGGTATTTGCTGCCAGAGATTGACATTTGGTTTGAGATGAAATTAAGTATGAGTGATGACAAGGCCCAGGTTGGGGTCACTGGAATGGATTATTGAGATGAATGCAATTGTATTTGTTTAGGGGAAGATTAGGTGAAGTGTGTCTATTATATAGATTGTGCCTTGAAATTGCCCAGGATAACGACAAGGTTTGTGTTGGTAAGAGAGAAGGATCTTAGAGCGTAAAGCTTCACTGATATGAAGACTGAGGAAGAAATGTTTTTTTTTTAAGTTTTTTAATGCTTTTTATTTATTTCTGATAGAGAGAGAGACAGCGTGAGCAGGGGAGGGTCAGAGAGAGAGGGAGACACAGAATCCGAAATAGGTTCCAGGCTCTGAGCTATCAGCACAGAGCCTAATGCAGGGCTCAAACCCACGAACTGTGAGATCATAACCTGAGCCAAAGTCAGACACTTAACCGACTGAGCCATCCAGGCACCCCAAGAAATGGGTTTAATAAAGAACATTACAGTCTAGCATCGGTGGATAGCATGTCCCTCAAGGAGAAGTGGATTTTATGCAGATGGTGGAGTTATAGCCTAGAAGTAGCAATAATAGAGCTAGGAGAATACTGAACCTCCTCTCTTTGTTGCGTGTGTTGAGTGTTAGAGTAAGGGCCACATTCTTTAGATTGGATATTATTGAGCAAGTAATTCTAGCAAGAGAAATCAAAGTTTGTACTATTAATGACTCAGAGGTGCAAGAATATAGTATTTTGTAAAAAATAAAAGCATGAAGATTTCAGAGAGCCCAGTAGAATAGATTGGGAATAAAGAAGAAGCAGGATGATAGATTGAAGGTTGAAAATATAGTGGAATATTGAGACCATAGTTTCAAGACTTACTGTTAGGATTATGAAAACAAAACAATAATATTTGCTTAATTTTGAATGAGGGAAAAGCATATTAGTGAAATTACTGAAATGTAATACATTTAGAAATGATAAATATAGCCTGGCAGTTTTACACTGTTAAAAATGACTTGGGTTAATTCTGACTTGCATGTTATAGTATGTCCACTGGGTGTCACTGTGGCTTCATATTTAGCTATACAAATAAACAGCTATAGGAGATCTGTGTTTGTGTAGTTGGTATTATATGGGTCTTTTCTCTGCTTATTTTTCCTTTTTGCAGTGAATTTTGCTAATTTTTTTTTCTGTTTATTTTTAGGTACAGTTATTTATCACCACTGCAAATAAAGCAGATACCTATCCCTAAACTGGCTGCTCCAGACTGTCTTGTTATTACTTGGGTGACCAATAGACAGAAGCACCTACGTTTTGTAAAGGAAGAACTTTATCCTTCTTGGTCTATTGAGGTAGTAGCTGAATGGCACTGGGTAAAAGTAAGTTCAGATATTAACTTGTTATTATAACATGCTATGTAAGTCACATAAATGTAGCATCTAATTTTTAACACTTAGCAAGTCACTGCTCTACTCCTTCAGCACAGTCTAATTAGAACTTTTACTTTGATACTAAACACTTTTATTTTCTTACTCTTTGAGGCTTTTTCCTTGTGAGTTCCAAAGTGCTGGCCTTAGAAAGTCACTCAGGGAGATATCAGGATGACATTTTAAAAAGCTCTCATATCTGAAGTTAAAAAAAAAACAAACATGTCTAAGTATTGTCTATCTTATCAATCCCTTAGTTGCTTTTATCACTAATTCTAGCTCTGACAATGTTTACAACACTATTTTCTATGAAGGAATATATTTTACTATAATCTACTTAATTTATATTATCAATAATCAGTAAATGTTATTTGAATGAATAAATGAATTGATGACGTGGTTTTCAGGGATGAATTTTAATGAAAAGTAGATTTTTATGTATAAAGTGATAAAGTGATATTTAAAATATTTTAGTCCCTTATAGTTACTATCCATATGTCATTATTCACCACATGAATTATGATTATTCAAAATTGAATTGATGCTAAGTGTAAGATGTACACTGTATTTCAAAGAGAGTATGAAAAAAATGTGACATACCTCAATAACTTTTTGAATTGATTACATTTTAAAATAACATCTTGGATATGTGAGATTAAGCTAAGTATATAATTAAAATTACTTATATATGCTTCCTACTTTTTACAAATGTTTATTTATTTATTTTGAGAGAGAGTACATGCATGTGTACCCTAGGGAGGGGCAGGGAGAGAGAGGGAGAGAGAATTTCAGGCACACTCAGTGCTGTCAGTGTAGAGCCTGAAGTGGGGCTTGAGCTCATGAACCATGAGATCATGATCTGAGCTGAAATCAAGAGTTGGAAACTTAACCTACAGAGCCACCTAGGCAGCCCAACTTCTTACTTTTTTAATATTGCTAGTAGAAAATTTAAATTACAAATGTGGTTTGTATTTGTGGCTTCCATCATATTTTTATTAGATAGCACTAGCCTAAAGGTTTAATAATTTCTTTTCTTTGGTGGAAATTGTATAGTGATAGGAAAAAAACCCCAACTCTTTCCTGGATATTTATAGATGTGTGGTTTAATTTTGTTTTGTTTTTTTGACTTCTTCCTATCAGATCACCAATTCAGGAGAGTTTGTGTTCCCATTAGATTCTCCACACAAAAAGCCTTATGAAGGTCTTATACTGGGGAGAGTTCGAGAAAAAACTGCTCTACCGTTAAGGTAGGAAAGGCGATTTTTAAAAAATTGTATAAATGTATACAGTTATACATTTTATAAAATTAATGGCATAATGATCATTGATTTTCCTTAATTTTTACATTTTTGAAAATCTGAAAATGCCCAGACCAGAAAAGTATGAATGGCATGGCACATGAAGTTTTATATTATCCTTTGTTTTATCTAGTGTGTAACTGTCATTATTGAAGAAAAGGAAATTATCAGTAATGTCTCAATACTTAAATTGTTGATTTTCATTATTTTTTCTATTCTTGAATTTATTTTTAAATTCAGATAACTAGTTGAAAAGTAAAAAAAAAATCAAGGCAACTGTGGCTTATATATAAAAAACTGTCCTTTCAAGTATAATTTATTTTGTTCTTTTGTTTTATTAGGAATGCAGATGTAAAAGTGCTTCCTATTCCAGATCACAAGTTAATTGTCAGTGTGCCCTGTACTCTTCACTCACATAAGCCACCACTTGCTGGTATGTTTTTATAAAATAGAATTGTTATGACTTCTGTCAAATTGAGAAAAGGATTAAATTTAGTATTTGGTGTAGAGATTTGGAAATTAAGTCAGATGTCTTATTTTTATTAGTTCCCTAAAATTTTATAGCAGAATTAATGAATAGTGTTTTTTGTTTGTATTTTGCTGCAAATGTGTTATTGTTTTCATTTGGTCCATGACTTGAGAGGGGGCTTCATGATGGTTAAAGAGCTGTCTAGTGGCTGCAGGGAGAGGTGCAGGCAGAAGCTCTGACATCAGGAGGATGTGGAGGTGCTGCTCAAAGGCTCCTGGGCTCCAGAGGCTCCTAGTTGTGCTTGAGAGTGAGCCTTTCAAAGAGATAGTTGGCCTTGCCCAGCCCAGCTGGGTGCCATCCAGCCTGTGGAGGTTAGGCGGTCACCCAACTTCTTGGTGAGTTTTACCTCCTCATGTGGAAGTGGCTCTCTAAGAAGTTACAGAGATGGGGATTTGTGTGGCAGAGCCCAGAGCATGTATGTCTAGAAGGGCCTGGTTCAGGGTCTTCTTCAGGGTCATGGCAGCTTCCATGACAACCAGGGCTTTGCCTCACTCATCTTGGGAGGGCGTCTTCATGCTTTGGAAGAGGGCACAGCTGCTGTACTGGTTTTGCATCTTCCAAGCGATACTTGGCCATCTTGTGGAAGAAGTGCTCAGGCTGTCCAGAGTTGTATCATTACAATCAAAATAGAAGCCCTGAAAGGTAGGTGTAGGAGGCCCACAGATCCAGGTTGATCAAGAGGTTGACACTGGCCTCCACCTCAGTAGAATAATTCTGATGAATCTGGGAGCTCATTGTTGGTCAGCAATAAAGAGCGAACCACAAAAAATGGTGTTGGCTGGTCCTAGAGGTTGTGCCTGGAAAGAAAGTTGGAAAGTGGTTGGAAGGTGGTTAGAGACTGGAATAAGGGGAGTCCCTGGGTCTGTTCCATCTAAAGACTGTTGAATAAGATTATGAACTGTTGATGGACTACATAGATTCATTTTATTTCATTTCAGCTTTTCCCCTTAATACCACTTATTTAGGTTCCCCTTGGTTGTTACTCCCTCACTGTCCTTGATAGACTGATGGGGCATCTGAGGACTGTAGTTCTACTAGTGGCTTTATTTTACTACAAGGGCTCTCCTTTGCTTGATCTGAAACCAGGTACTTAGAATAGTAGTCAGAGGCATGGTTAGAATCCCCTCGATACTTGGTAGAGACTCAGTTTTATGTTGAGGTAGTGTTGCTTTTCTGAACTACTGGAAAGGTAATATCTGCAGGCTACAATTCTTTTTTTTTTTTTAATGTTTTATTTATTTCTAGGAGAGAGAGAGAGAGACAGCGTGAGCAGGGGAGGGTCAGAGAGAGAGGGAGTCACAGACTCTGAAACAGGCTCCAGGCTCTGAGCTGGCAGTCAGCACAGAGCCCGACGTGGGGCTCGAACCCACGAACTGCGAGATCATGACCTAAGCGAAAGTTGGACGCTTAACCGACTAAGCCACCCAGGCGCCCCTGCAGGCTACAATTCTTAACTAGTCTTAACACTTTGGTATAATGTTCATCATTCAGTGAAACTAAGCAGCAAGGCAGCAAGGAATAGTGGAATGTTTTGGCTTTGGAGATTAACTAACATGAATTTTAATCCTGGCTCTGCTACTAAATTAGTCACTCTAACATGTTCTACCTGAAAGTCCTCATTTAAAGAGAGACTAATGGTATTTAATGTTTTAGAGATGTGAGCATTGATTATAATATTTTTGAAATTCGTAGCATATAGTGGAAGCTTAGTGAATGCTAAATTTTTTAAATGAGAGTTTAAAAAAATAGAATTGAAAAAATAGAGATGTAAGTCCTTGAGAGATACTGAATGTGATATTCATAGTTATCTATCTATTAAAAAATTTCTTTAGGAATATCTATTATATTGATTTGGTGATCCCCACTCAAAAAACCAAAAACTTTTAAGCTGCTGCTCAGGAAAACTATAAGGTCCTCAACCTATCATATTATTTTGTAGAATATGGGATAGTTCGTGAGCTAGAGTACATAGGAAAGTGAATACAAATTCCCAAGGTAATTTTTATTGATAGCACTTAGAATTTCTCTTCTCTTAAACTGCTTATGCAGAAGAGTCTTTGTAGTGTTATTTCATTTGAAAAATATTCAGATGTTTACCTGATGATCCATTCTTTGACTTAGAGAAATGCTGAATGAGTAATTGTCTTTAAGCTGTGTACTTCTGTAGAAGAATGCATTAAATATATGACTGAAATGAAAAGTGAGGTTGTACTATTCTTTGAGATGACAATTGTGTTTGGCACCAGTTATATTTGATGGAGGAAGTCTAATTTGTATTCTTCTCATTTGAATTTTATTATTCAGTGAGTATCAAAAGCATAATTTAGTGTTTGTCCTGGGAATTTTTTATTTTCTTTAGTTTTTATTTACTTAAGTAATCTCTTAATTAATTAATTAAGTAATACCCAAAATGGGGCTCGAACTCATGATCCTGAGATCAAGAGTTGCATGCTATTCCTACTGAGCCAGCCGGGCACCCCAGGGCTTATTTTTTTACTTTTAAAAATCTAAAAACAAAGAACTAAACTTTTATTCTAAAATTATAGGTAAACTATTTATCAATTCCTTTTACATAAAATAAAATAATGTTTAAATATTAGTCTCAAGAAACAAGGTTTTAAAATAGTAAGTAAAAATTAGTCTTTTATTAATACTAATAAAAATTAGTCTTACAGCCTATGTGTATGAAATGCAGTTCTGCCATATTCCCAGTAGAGAGCAGCACAAACATATTTTTAGGACTGGGAACATTTAGAAAGGATTTTTTTGGGGAAAAAAATCTACATGATGACATATGTAATCTTTATGTTTTAGATCAGTAGTGGTAGATAAGAAGTATTTGTAATTCTGTATTTTTGAATTTATGTTACTATGAACTGAGATATGTCAATTGAGGTTAGTATTTTTGAATTCAATACAGAGCCATACAAATTAAAGCCACCAAAAACCAGTTTTCAGATTTTTTTATTATAATTTACTCTGAAATCATAACTCGGATTTGGGATAGTATATGTCCTAAATATAATGCTTAGAACTTTTACATGTAAAGGTTCTTAAATTGTTTTGTGTATATTTTTAAAATGAAATGTTCTTTTATTTCTAGAAACACTAAGATTTTTAAAATATTTTAATTGATTTCTACTGCTACCTGTAAAAAATTTTAAAAAGATACATTTATTTTGTTTTTCAGTTTTGAAGTTTCCTTCTATAGATCAAAATATAAGTCATCCATAGCTATAACTTATCACATAACCTTATAAATATTTATTACATTTAAAGATTTAAGGTGGGAAAATTATGGGGGCGCCTGGGTGGCTTAGTCGGTTAAGCGTCTGACTTTCGCTTGGGTCATGATCTCGCGGTTCGTGGGTTTGAGCCCCGCGTCGGGCTCTGTGCTGACTGCCAGCTCAGAGCCTGGAGCCTGTTTCAGAGTCTATGACTCCCTCTCTCTCTGACCCTCCCCTGCTCACGCTGTCTCTCTCTCTCTCTCTCCTAGAAATAAATAAAACATTAAAAAAAAGATTTAAGGTGGGAAAATTATGAAATAACAGTATCTGAATCAAAATTAGTGTTCATATTTTACCTTAGAGGAATCTCTACTCCCTTTTCCTACTTCATTCACTAACAGTTTCTGTCTGAAGAGTAAAACACAGTTTGATGAGATTCTGTACACTGATTGAGCCCCTACTTCCCCCCCGCCACCATCCCTTAGAAAAGGGGAATAACTGGCTATGCATGGATTATTTCCTCTTCTGTGGTTAGTAGCATATCTTACTAATGTCAAATGTTCTGTAATTATCTTAAGTGTATTATATATCACATTCGTACTTAAATTTATACATTGGAATATTCTTTTTAAAAATTGAGATATAATTGACATATTAGTTTCAAATGTACAACATAATGGCTTCTGTATGTATATATTGAGGAATGATCACCCATCACAAAGAGTCTAGTTAACATCCATTACCACACATAGTTACAAAATATTTTTCCTTCTGGTTAGAACTTCTAAAATCCTGAGTTTACTTTTAAATTGACATTTAAGATTAGAGAATTAAAACATTTCCGTTAATTTACCCTTATTTCTTTTGCTTTGTTTTGAAATGTGGTTAACATTTTAAAAACATTACTCCTTGATTTTCTGTTTTTTTTTAACCAGAAAAAAAAAAAACCATGCAGAAATGTATTACATTGAGAAAGTAGGAAGTAGTAAATGGGTTGAGGTTTTATGTACTGTGTTTGTTGACTCTAGGTCCACAGCCATCTTTTTCTACTAGCTTGTGTACTCTTAGAAGACATGGATATTTGTTTCCTTTGTTAAATCCCATTGCACAGATTATAGTGGGTGCTCCGAACAGTAAACATTTTTGACTGTCTGACTCCAGTTTAGACTCCAGATTAAGGTTCTAAAATAGAGTTGCTAACGTCTTTATACCTAAAAACGGAACAAACAAATAAAACCTTGCTTCACTATAATCTTAGGTGACAGTAAAAGTGAAATGAGGTTAGTAAGGCATTGAATTCATGGGGAAAAAAGGCTCTAAGGCTCTGGGAAATTTTCTTTACGGTTTAGTAACATTTAATTATAATTATACACTTAAGTTAGGACTAGAAGTCTCATGTTGGCATCTCCTAAAAGCTATCAAAGCCCAAATTTGACTTCAGTTGGGTTATTGACAATGAATACTTTATAAATTCCTTGATTTTTGATAAATTGGGTCAATGCATTTATACATATAAACCATTATTTTGCTGTGAGAGCAACTGGGGAACATCATGAAACCTATATTTTATATATCTTTTCTTTAAACTTTACCTATATCAAGTACTCCTAAGGAACACTTATCATTCCTAAAGGGAATTTGATAGATTTATTGTAAGCTCAATTTTGTATAGCACTTAAGAACTATATTTTAAAAATATAGTTCTGCTGACTTTTCATCCCTGATTTAATATTTTCATACCCAATTCCTATAATATGGTTAATATAGCTAACCAGTAACATGATCAAGGTTAAGTTGATTTAAATATTGTCATCCCAATGAACATGTACTTAAAAAAAAGGCTTCTACGGTATTTTCTTCCTGTTACTATATGTCATAACATTTAATAATCATATATATGATACACTTTTTTTCTCAAAAATAAAGTTTTCATTAATTAATTGTATACATAAGGAATATTTATCTGTGGAAATAATATGGTGAAATTTTAGGTAAAAAGGATCTATAATTTGGAAATGAGGGAATGTACTACCCAGTTACAACTAAGAGGATATTGTTATATTTGTTAGTTATGTGTTCTTAATATTTTTATTGATGTCTAATTCTTCACTTACAGCTCTTATGCTAGTGTATATGCTTGTAGAGATTATATTTTATTTCAGTTTTTTAAGTGAATTGTTTTTATATTGTTCCTATATACTTATTTTTCATGCGTGGATTACATTTGTTAAAAAGTTAGGTTAGTACTCAGGAGACGTGTCAGTAGTATTGGAAAATTGAAAAGTCACCTGTGTGGGTGTTAAACTCCTTATTTCTCATTTACAAATGAAACCTGATAAATCAGGACTTCTGAAAGTTCTGATGGTATTATCTCCAATCTCAGGAGTATTGATTTCAAATGACTTCTAACTATAAATAGTAAAGTCTGTGATGAAATCCTTGAAATTAATTAGCTATCCTTTTTTTTCTCTCTTCTTTTTTTAAAGGAAACAATCCTGCTCTTTTGCTTTTAACTGCTAAAAGGAAATTGATTCCTTTCTTAATAATAATTTTTGTGTTTTTTTTCTTTTTTTTGGACAGAGGTTCTAAAAGACTATGTCAAGCCAGATGGGGAATGTTTGGAATTGTTTGCTCGAAATTTACAGCCGGGTTGGACTAGTTGGGGCAATGAAGTTCTCAAATTTCAACACATGGATTATTTTGTTGCTCTGGAGTCTAGAAGCTGACTGTGGTCTAAAAGTTGTGATTTTCTTCAGTTTTTCCTCACCCCTCTCCCTTCGTTCTAACTGATTGTTCCTTTTTTTACCAATGAGTGTGCTTAGAAATGTAAACGGGGTGCGGGGTGCCTGGGTGGCTCAGTCCGACTTCGGCTCAGGTCCTGATCTCGGGGTTTGTAGGTTCGAGCCCCTGTCGGGCTCTGTGCTGACAGCTCAGGTCCTGGAGCCTATTTCAGATTCTGTGTCTCCCTCTCTATCTGCCCCACCCCCACTCATGCTTGGTCTCTCTGTCTCAAAAATAAATAAACTATAAAAAAATTTTTTTTAAAAGAAAAAAAATGTAAACAGGACTTGGTTTTTCTGCAAAAGACCAGAAGTGACTAGTCTTTTTGTAATTTTTAGATGAATTTACTTCAGTTGCATTAGTATTCCCCATTATTCCAGATTCACTCTAAATAAAGAGACAAGTAGTTAGAAAAATGATAAGACTTTGTTCCTGAAAAAGTTGAGAAAGCATGCACTGTGGACCAGAGGTCATAATTCTGTCCATGGATGTGTTTTGTTTGGCCCATATGGTATTGTAAAAAAAATTCAAGCCATCATTCTAAAAAATAGGGAAATTTCACATAAAGTCTAGATTTCTACTTTTCTTTAAACATCAGAAGCTCTGACTACACTGCAGTCTTTATTCTTTCCTTGTATCAGTAAGTAGGACTCACTGGTAACTACCCACTTGTGTTGTCTACTTGGCTCCTGTGCACCCTAAATTTATAACCTCTGGTATACTGCTACATTCTGGAAAAAATATTGAAAGACCTATGAAGTCATCATTGTATTGTGTTTATGAAACATTTTAGAGGGTTTTAAACTGCATTCAAGGTCACTTTTCAAGTACTTCTTAGTTTTGCTTTGTTTTCTAGAAGAATATTTAAAAAATATTTTGTATAAAAATGTCAGAAAATAAACAGTGCTTAGGATTTAAAAGATATTTATATTATTTACAGATTTTCCACAAATAAATTTATTTCTTTACTAAGTAAAATATTTTTACTGAAATGATTCTTTGAAAGGCATGCTGATTTATTATATATAACCTTTTTTCCAACTGAGGTATAATTTCACATAAAATTCTCCAGTTTTTAGAATAGCGTTCAGTGAGTTTAGAAAATGTATATACAGTTGTCTATCTACTGCCATAGTCATAATATGGAACATTTTCTTCACCTCCAAAACTCATGTGTTCAATTACAGTCAATCCCTTTTCTCCCCACTGGCCTTTGGTAAACAATAATTTGTTTTCTAAAATTAGTTTTGCTTTTTTAGAGTGTCATGTAATTAGAATCATAGAATATATAATCTTTTGTGTCTGGCTTCTTTCACTTAGCATTTTGACAAAAGTATTTATACAATTTACAGCTTTTCTATAAATATTTATCTGCTAAGTAAAATGTTAGATTGAAATGATTATCTCACAAGGTTGCCAATTCGTTTACTGATTTTTACAAAGAAAAATGTTATTTTTGAAGTTTGTTCATTCTTTGAGTGTGTGAATATAGTAATCTAGGCTTAACTTTGTATTTATAGGGATATTCTAACTTGTTACAGAAATGGAAAAAGGTATTAAACTCAAAGCAAACTTCTTACAACCTCATTTGAAATTCTTTCCAGCTTCTTGTAGTATTTATAGATTTTATATAGTTTGTGAAAACATTTTATCCTCACCAAGTTTTTAGAATTTTATTTTTGCATCACAAATACTGATAATTGAGAGAAAAAGAGAATTTTCTTTTATTCACTGAGTTTGATATTCAAAATACAGGTTTTGTTGTTGTTGTTTTTAAAGGAAACAGAAGTTCTAGTCTTAGCTCTGCTCCTAAGTTGTACAACTTCTGGGCCTTGTTTAAAATTCCTGTTTAAGTATTGGGCTCTTTTTTGAATAAAGGATGATTCTGGGAAATGGAACAATCACACGCCATGTGAGAACAAAAAGGCTAGACTAAGAGATTGACCTTTGACTTCATTACCACTGAGTTTTAGCCAACTAACCTAATGAACTTTATTATCAAATTTATTTAATATTATAAGATATTTTCATTCAGAGATTTTTATATTACCTTTAAAACATAATGATTTTCTTTTCTGTCATATTCTTTTTAAGACACATTCTTTTAAGATGCTTGAAAATGCTTAGGCAAGGGGTAGAGCTAATATTTGTTGAATAGTGTGTTAGTCTTTGCTATGCTTTTTACATTTTAGTGGATTTAACCCTTGCAGAGCCGTGAGAGATCTTACCTCCATTTAATGGTCAAGAATACTGGGGGTGCCTGGCTGGCTCAGTCAGAAGAGCTTGCCGCTCTTGATCTCTGAGTCATGAGTTTGAACCCCATGTTGGGGGTAGAGATTACCTAAAAATAAGAAAAAAAATAAGATGGTTAAAGTGGCAAAGGTTATGTGCACTTTACTCCTTGTCATCCCCTTCCCCCCACACACAAAGATTATTACATGGGGTGAGGTAGTCAAGAAAACTGAACCAAGAGGACCATTTTGTCCTAAAACCTATAGTAAGTACTGAAACTAGGATTAGAATGCACAGCTCCCTGACTCCGAAGTTCATGCTGTATTCCTTATAAGAACATGGAAAACTGAGCAAATGACCAACGATTTCTAAAGTGATAGTGCACTCTAGTCCTGTAGCCCAGCCCTAGAGTTTGGTTTCATTTGAACTTACCTGGAAGCTGTGGAAGCACAATTGAGATCCTCCGCAACCACACAAAAAGCCATTTCACCTACATGTGGTTAACAGCAGACACACTCAAGAAACTTGGGGGAGTCTTGCCTCATAAGATTGTATCCTTGGAATTCATGGTCTTTCTCTTGACATTATTTCACCCTCTCATACAGGGTCTGTTACAGTAAAATAACAGAGTATTTGACTACTCTTTTGGAAGCAGATCCTCTTTAACTTGGTCCTTTTTGTCTTCCTTTCTCGCTCAGCCTTTATTTGTATCCTCTAGTCAAAGTTTCTTAGTTTCTTTCAGTTTCTTGGTCACTTTAGGCACAGGGCCTTTTTTGTATAGATGGCAGTAAGTTCACTGTAGCAGTCAGTGCATTCTGAATCCAACTTGCCTAGGTTTGAACCCCAGCCTTTTCAGCTACTAGCTTAAGACTTAAAGTTAAGTCTCTATGCTTTAGCCTCTTCATCCATAGAAACAGGCAATAAAAATGCTTATCTCTTAAGTTGTTATGAGGATTAAATGTATTAATACGTGTAAGGCACTGAGAACTGGATTGGAATATTTTAAGTGATCAATAAATATTTGAATTGCTTGCATATTTTTCAGTTTCAGGTCAAAAAGTTTTTTCTATCACAATCTGTACTCAAATTCAGGAGGTTCACCTGAATATTTTCCATACAATAGAGTTTTTCTTGATCTTTTTCTTGAGATCAGATTTCCTAGCTTGTATCTGGTTTCTTACATGAGGAAGCTTTGAAATCCATCATTTCCATTGTGGTCCTGCCTAAAAACAAATAATTAAAAACAAAACAAACGCCACATATAGTGCCAGGCTTGAACTCTTGATTATATATTGCCATGCTGACTCTGGACTTCATAGTTACTCTGCATGGTTCTTTGATGACTTCCATAGGTGGTTAATTGGTGGCCTTTCTGATGTTTCTTCTATATTCAGAGACTTTAGGCTCATGTCACGTTAATTTTGGTTCAAAATATATCTCTTACACTTTGCTGGAGGATCTGTCACCCTTTGTAGGAACTTGGTTTTTATGTGCAACAGCTGTAGACTGAATGTTTTTACCCTCCCAAAATTCAGATACTGAAACCCCAACCCTCAAGTGACTTTGGACCTTCATGACAGGATTAATGGATTTACGGGACCTCACTCTGCATGCAAGCACCAGGAAGAGGCCAGGTGAGGACATAACCAGGAAGAGGCCTCTCACCAAGAACCTGACCATGCTGGCATCTTGGTCTTAAGCTTTGAACCTCCTGAACCCTGAGGAATAAATGTTTATTGTGTAAGCCACGCAACTCATGGTCATTTGTTATAGTAATTGGTCTGAGATAGCCACCAAAGTGCTTTTCTAGTTGATAAGGTAAAGACCAAGTAAATAAGGCCTTTTTCTTCCAAAGATCTGAAAGGCACCAGTGCGGAATCAGTTTTTCCTCTTGGATGTCAATGTTTGTGAGAGGCCAGCATCACTGTGGGCTGGTTGTTTTCTTGGAGGAGAACAGAGAGATTTGTCTATGACTCAGGCCTGGCTTTAATTGCTGCCTTTGCTCTGTTCTTGTTATAGTCTCTATTTACCTTGTCCTATTCTAGTTCTTCAAATTCTGTGACTCAAACTCATTCTTATCAGAAACCCTAAATGTACCTTTTCAAGTTTGGTGCCTTAGAAACATATCTTTGATGAATTTTTATATATTCAGCTGTAGTGAGACTTTGGGTTTTCTCTTGATAATGATTCAGAGGAGGATTATAATTACATTAAAGGGCCTTCCCTTCCCTGAAGATGCTTCCAGTTCACCTTATTTGACTCCTGTCATGCACCACTGGCCTGCCACACCCTGGGAAGCACGACAGCACTGTTGGCATAGCTCTCTGGTTATCAGAGTTCTTTTACTTCAGTTATGTCACTTTACCCTCAAAGTAGTTTTTTGAAGTTGTAGTTATAATGAAGAAACAGGTTCATGGAGGCTAGCCAACATGGCTAATAGTGATAATCAAGACTTGAATTCTGATTCCTAAATTAAGGCACTTTATGTTGTATCATGTTTGCTAATGAACCTGAGATCTTAATAGTAGACTCATTAGCTAGTAATCAGAGGATCTGTTGGGTGGCCTGAAGCAGATTTAGAATGGTTTATTTATAATCATCTGAACATACCTTTCTCAATATATTGTATCATCAGTCTTGAGTTATTAGCACAGTATTTTTCATTAGACATTTTAGTGACATTGGTTGAACTAATAGCCCAAACGCCACTCAGAATCACTCAGAATCAGATGAGCTGTTAAACCTTTTAACTTAAGTCATTGGCACAGTTACCATACTATTATGTGTTCCTTAATCAGATTAGGCATTTTAAGTTCACAATTTTAAGGAAACTCTTCTGCAGAATATAGAATTGGAC